ACACACACACACACACACACACACACACACACACACACACACACACACACCATTACTAAAAATCTGTACCCAAATACTTCCAAATCAGCAAACTACCATACATTTGCACTTAGACATACCTGAAAGTCCAAGTGTTGATTCAGACTCTCTTGAGGTTGACTCTTATCTTAAGATGTTGATTCCACAATGCCACATCACTCAGCGATCCCTTGTTAGCACAACACTCTCAGCATTCTCTATCCCTCTCGGCAAAATACTAGTTTTCTAACTATACCTACTATATCCAGAGTCAAAAGAATATTTTGACAATGTCTTTATGCTGTTTTATATCCCAGAGGGTTAATTAATAACTAAGGTACATGGCTGATTTCATTTTGAATCCTATCATGGGGCAGCAGATTGTAGTTGCTCTTTAAATTGTTATTTCATAACAAATTTCTTCCAAAAAGCATGTTTTGCAACTCTCCACAACTTTCAATGTGCCATTTCTATTTCTTTACACAGCATATCTAGTACAAGAGTATTACATTTTAAGTGTGATGGTCATAGGGCAATAAGTTTAATTCTTTTTTATCACTATTATTATTAATTTATTTACTTTTAGTTTTTAACATTCACTTCCACAAGATTTTGAGTTCCAAATTTTCTCCCCACCTCTCTCCTCCCCACATCCCAAGACAGCATGAATTTTGAATACCCCTTCCCCCAGTCTGCCCTCCCTTCTATCACCCCCCCTTCTTTTATCCCCTTCCTATTCTGTTTTCCTGTAGGGCAGGATAGATTTCTATACCCCATTACCTGCATATCTTATTTCCCAGCTGCTGTAAAAACAATTTTTTAACATTTGTTTTTAAAACTTTGGGCTCCAAATTCTCTCCCTTCCTTCTTCCCTACCCACCATTGAGAAGGCAAGTGACTCGATATAGGTATGCATGTGTAGTCATGCAAAACACTTCCATAATAGTCATGTTGTGAAAAATTAACTATATTTCCCTTTATCCTATCCCGCCCCCCATTCATTCTATTCTCTGCTTTGACCCTGTCCCTCCTCAAAAGTGTTTGCTTCTGATTACCCCCTCCCCCAATCTGACCTCCCTTCTATATCCCCCCTCTCTTATTCCCTTCCCCCCTATTTTCCTGTAGGGTAAGATAGATTTCTATACCCAATTGAGTGTATCTGTTATTCCCTCCTTAAGCCAAATTCAATAAGATTAAGATTCACTCTTCCCCTCCACTATAAAAGTTTTATCTTGTCTCTTGTCTATTTTATGTGACATAATTTACTACATTCTACCTCTCCCTTTCTCCCAGTATAATCCTCTGTTACCCCTTAATTTAATTTTTTTGATATGATCCCTTCATCTTCAACTCACCCTGTGCCCTCTGTATGTATAGACATATATATACATATGTATGTACATATATATAAAAATATATACATACACAGATATGAGTGTGTGTGTGTGTGTGTATTTTTTCCCCTCCAACTACCCTAATCCTGAGAAAGGTCTCATGAGTCACAAACATCATCTTTCCATGTAGGAA